TACACACACACACACACATACACACATACACACACACACACATACACACATACACACATACACACATACACACATACACACATACATACAATAATTCATCAACGTCACAAAATACTCAATATCACTCAGATACAGACAATCTGCAAAGTGGCCATTGCTAGTCATCACAGTGAAGCATCTTTTTATTTTTAGCTAGGATTATCGTCACTTGCTCAAGGGCTCATTCCACTGAACACTGGCCTAAAAGCTGTTTCTTTGGGTTGGGCTTGACATTGTTGTGAATCTGAATGCACTAACCTCTCGCCCACTGCTCTCTCTCCTCTCACCCCCCCCCACCCCCCAGTCTGATTTTGTAGACTGAGTTCAATTAGAGAACCAAGTCAGCAAGACTTTTCCAAGTTGATGCCAATTTTGTGGTCTGAGCAAGCATTTTTCCTGGGTCAACAGCTAACTTTCACTCTTGCAAAAGTTGACAGCAATATATATTTTGTTCTAAGTAATAATAACGGATAATGATAATAAAAACAGTAATAATAATGATGATAATGATGGTTTGATTGTTATAATAAAAATGGTATTTATTATAGAAGTAATAGGACCTTCTTAATGAAATATGATGTGATACATAAATAGAACAGACAGGAAAATTACTGGAAATAACTAGATAATAGAAGATGGTGTTCGTTCTTCGCCTCTCAGTAAAAATGTCTCGGGATCGAAATCTGCCTGTGATGAAAACATTTTCTTCTCTCCAAAATTTTCTCCTTTACCCTCCATTCCTGTGTGTGTGTGTGTGTGTGTGTGTGTGTGTGTGTGTGTGTGAGAGAAAGAGTGTGTGTGTGGACTCGTGGTGGAACACCAAACCAATGTGCCAGGATCTGGACAATAAAGATGTATCTTATCTTATCTTATCTTATCTTATCTTATTCATGTTCTTTAGTCCTGTTTTGTCATCTGCGTTCACCTCCATGTAGCATAATGTAGTGTATTGTATTTAAATTTTGTTGCATATTTCAGTAATTCCTTTTTCTACTTCATAGGCTAGAGAAATGTACAATTCACTGTAGTCAGATTGTCAGGTGTATGTTTCAAGTCAGTTTGAAACCTTGTTCCACCATCCAGGTGTGTCCTCTTCTATAACCTCGACCCAGACAAGATGGCCGCCCCCATGGAGGAGCTTCTACGTCACGTAGCCACCATAAGACAGCAGAGCGGCTGCTACACTCAGGCCATGTTCTCAGCCATGGCTCCTCAACACCAACAGCTGATTGTCCAGTTTGTAGTTTGCTTGCTTATTGTTATCTTTTTAAAAATTAGTTGTTTCATTCTTTCCTTTGTACCCAACTTTGATGATGAGGGCTATGGACCAGTGTCCATTGTGTAATTGTTAGGCTCTTTAACGCTGCATGTAGAAGACTTGTGTTCGATTCCTGAGAGAGGAAGTTATTTTATTGAGTATCTACACTTTTCTGCCATCTTGATGTATCGTATCCCACTCTGCGCTGGTCGGTCCTGACAAATAGGCTTGAAGTAAAATCTCACAGACTAATCTTCTTCTTCTTCTTCTCGATCGCATGACACTTGAAGTCTGGTATCTGTCATAAATTGGGCCGTC